AGAGATTGTGATTGAGTTGGAGGTAGAGTAATAGTGTGAGGTAACCGCTTGTAGAAATCAGTTACAAGCACGTAGACTCTAAGGAAGTCCTACTTATAGATTGATATATATATATATATATATATATATATATATATATATATATATATATATATATATATATATATATATATATATATATATATATATTATTATTATTATTATTAACTAACCGCGTGCCTGGATTTACTAACAGAATTACCCTTTGTATTATTGTGTAAATACATTTAATTTCTTATCTTTATTTCTTGCGTTTGTCATTCATTGAGACCGAATTTCATCTCGGAATCCACAACATATATAGTAAAACATTTCAAGGGTAACTTAAGTGGAAATGTCACTGTTACTCCATTAATGATGTTAGTTATCCACCAAGAAATAATAAAAAAAATGTCGGCTTCTCGCAGTATAATGAGGATTTTTTTTCAAAACCAATCCGGTAAATCCACTTTCCGAAGTTAACGGTAATTAAATTTTGAGTCAATTTTGTTTTCAATAGCAAAAGGTTTAAAGAAGTAGGAGGGTACAAATGAAAAGTGGTTTTTTTTTTTCATTTCACTATAGCGGTATCTCTTCATCTATCATCCCTTTCTTTCTTTTCTTTTTAGTTTCTTCTTTAATTTTTCTTCTTTTTCTTTCTTTCATTCTTCCTTTCTGCTTCTTTACTTACCTTCTTTCGTTCTTTCTTTCTTTCTTTCTTTCTTCTGTATCTTTTCCTCGCAAAAGCAAAACAACATCTCACATATATCTTTCTTCTTTCCTTGAAACCAAAACAGAATTATCCATTATTTATTTGAAGTAATGGCAGTGAAAGAGCCCTTGCTACGCCCCAGTCGATGACCTTCAGTCTTCCAACCGTTGGTTTTGTTAAGTTTCCCACTGCTTTTGGTTCCCGGATATTTTCTTTACTTGAATATCGTCTTGAAAAATTTGACAAAGAAGTATTAATTTTTCTTTTAAACCAGTTATTCAAATATATATATATATATATATATATATATATATATATATATATATATATATATATTGATATTTACCACGTGAATTACGATGAAAATAAAATGAAAAACATATGGTATATAATTTAAAATATGCAGACGTGAAAATTTATTTTAAGGGTTACGCAAGGGTAAAAAGGTTAAGAAACGCTGTTCTAGAGTGACGGGCAATACAGAGAGCCCAATTTGACCTGTTTTTAATACATAGTTGAGGAGACTTGGAGAAATGATGGATTCATGCCTTCTATATGTGAATTCGCCCTAAAGTCCCTCTGAGGACGAAACACGTTGGCTAAGATATCTTTTCATTTTGTCTTTATTCACAGTGTCCTTTTACAGATATAACCTATCTGAAATTTTGTACACATATATATATATATGTGTGTGTACAAGTATGTATATCTCATATACATCTCTTTTAATGTTGGAATACAACATTTGTTAATGGATTAATACCCTGGCAGGCTATTCAGTTATCTTGGTAGCTTTAAAACCTTTTTATGATAACGTAGACAACAGTTATCATTGGGGAACGTGAAAGAGTAGGGTTATACACTTTAGCTTAAAACTTCTGCGTTTTATACTTTACTATCCGCCATCATTCACCAAAAAACGTTTTTCTATGAACTTATAATAATTATCAGAATTTATCTTGCGACTATCACCAACTTCTCAATCGTTCTGGGTGATTATTTCTCCGAAGAAACCGACCTTCGGTCCAGTCATAAAATCCCTCCAATGTAGTTTTATATTTATCGCTAAAAAAGTACAGTTCAAAAATCAGCTTTCTTGCATTGCTTTGCCCAACTGTTGTAATCTTGTTAGGGCCAGAAATAAAGACACAAGAGAGGGATTGATTTAAACAAATATATTAAGAGAAACAGTAATACAAACATATACAAACGAGAGTGTTACAGCAAGAATGTTCGGCCCGACTGTCAGAGCTGACTGCTGGAAACTTTCCCCTTCAAAAGGCAGTACCTGCTCCTATTTATAGCTGTTAGAGTCCATGCGTGCATGGGTAAATTACCATAACACTATCTATCTGTTGTGGCCTTGTTAGGGCCAGAAAAAATGACTCAAAGAGGGGAATTGAGTTAAATAAATATATTAAATAGAAATATATTAAAAGTGTTGTTGCCTTCTTAGGGCCAGAAATAAAGACACAAAGAGAGGAATTGAGTTAAACAAATATATTAACAGAAACAGTAATACAAACATATACAAACGAGAGTATTACAGCAAGAATGTTCGGTCCGACTGTCAGAGCTGACTGCTGGAAACTTCCCTCTCCAAAAGGCAGTACCTGCTCCTATTTGCTTGGGTAAATTATCATAACACCAACTGACACGTTTCTTCTTAAATGAGTTAGTTTATTTGCTTTAATGTCCATTGAAATGAAATACAAAGTTCTTCTATGTGTAACATAATCTTCAAAACAAAACTGTCACGCGCGCTATCTTCATGTTGCAAATGCGAAGTCATTGAACTGAGATAGCAATATCTTCACTGCGTAACGTATACTCCAAACGTGCCACATTCAACGCACGTCTTCATGTTGCAGATGTAAAGCAGAAAATGCTTATTGAAGTGGGATTTGAAGTTCTTCCACATGTAACTTATTCCCCCAAATTTCACCTTCATCGTTCGCCTTCATGTTGCAAATGCGACGCAGCAAAAGTTCTTTGATGTGGAGTGGAAAGTTGTATGTTTGACGAAATTCTCCAAATTAATAGGTGTAGATAGGTTCGTCTGTCGTCCGGTTCACACTTCTCTCTGATATTTTGAACAGTAGTAGAAGTTTATCCTTTGTTTTCTGTTTCTAACGTCTCCGACTGAACTATGAAATATTATTCACTGATTAAACTTGACCTCTTTAAATCTCTAGCCGTTGTCTTCCTGCATAGACCCAAGAACTTTACATCTTGCACGTTCTTACGATCATACAACACCACGCAGTAACCCTCTACCTTGAGTGGCTCTTGTGCCTTGTATTAGATGATCATTATTAAAAAAAAATACAAAGTAAAACAAAAAGTCAACTTTTGGTTTCGATTCATGCATGACTTTACTTAGCGTTTTCAACAATTTAATTTATTTTTTTAATTCGTCAAAGAATCTATTTAATCGAATGAAGCATTGTCCTTATATGGTAAAATATACAATTTAACGGGAAAACTACCATCAGAGAAAATATTTTGATATATAAATAATGAGGCTCTGAAATCTTTTATGAATAATAAAGAACTTTTCTTTTAATTCAAGATAGATAGATAGATGTGAAAACACTGACATAGAGATGAACAAGCTGAGATAGATAGATAGATAGATAGATAGATAGATAGATAGATAGATAGATAGATAGATAGATAGATAGATGTGTAAAGACTGACAGAGATGAACAAGCTGAGATAGATTGATAGATAGATAGATAGATAGATAGATAGATAGATAGATGTGTTAAGACTGACATAGAGATGAACAAGCCGAGATAGATAGATAGATAGATAGATAGATAGATAGTGGTTAATGTGTGTGTGTGTGTGTGTGTGTGTGTGTGTGTGTGTGTGTGTGTGTGTGTGTGTGTGTGTACACAGTATGGCAATCCTTCTAATTTCGTTGTTGCTGTCCATTTAAATACAAGAAAACACTATCATACACAGTTATAAACACGCATAAACAATGTTTACTTATTGAATCTCTGCCATTAACCGTTCAGCTTTCCATTTCGTTGTTCTGCTTCTCAATTGTTGCCTGTCCACTGCAGGCATTCGACTGTCGTCTGTGTTTTTGCTTTTTGTTTTTTTATTTGTTTTTTTGTTTTCTATTTTCGGGAACAAAGATACTGAAAAAAAAATAAATGAAATGAAATCAAGGAAGGACTCTCAAGCAAACAACCTAAAGATTAAAAAAAAAATTAAAAAAACAGAAAATCAGCAATATTAACACTTACAGCTTGTCTTGGCCGCAGGCGCCTTGTTAAATGTCTTCATAAAATTACGACGGTTGCTTGGTGACGCCGCCATCATAACGGTCTGCCAAGGTTGGAAAGAAATATATATATGTATATATATATATATATATATATATATATATATATATATGTGTGTGTGTGTGTGTGTGTGTGTATAGATAGATAATAGTGGTTAATGTGTGTGTGTGTATAGATAGATAATAGTGGTTAATGTGTGTGTGTGTGTGTGTGTGTGTGTGTGTGTGTGTGTGTTCAGCAAATTCGTATTTGGTTACAAAAATATAAAAGATTATCTTCATTTGTGCGTGAAATAAGAGGTGAAAAAATATTGATTAATTCGTTTTATTATTAGATTTGATCAAATCTTCGAATATCCTATTGTTGTGAATTATTTGTTGTTGTTTTTAACAATCATACGCTTTTTATTTGCCACAGAAATGACTATTTTCTATAGAATTCGTTGCAAATAACTCACCACAGAAATGGATTGTAATCGATTTGCGATGAAAAAAAATGCCGGGAAATATTTACAATAAAAAATAAGAGACTGAAAAGTAATCTTGAAAACCGTAGTGTTTGTTATTTACCATAGAAATATATTCGGACATCTTTATTGCTTAGTTTTGTTCAACTCAAAGCCAAAATGTAACAAAATCCTATGGAGAGCATTTCTATTAAAATCAGTATTTAAAATCTTTTATCGAAGCTCGATTGATAGATTGATTTGTTTTTAGGGCTATCAACAGTTTCCAGGTTATTTAAAGCCAGAAAATAGTTTTAGATTATAAAAGATTGGGGGAGATAATAATGCAATACTGATACATATCTTGCTAATTAACCCATAGCTGGGGGAGAAGAGGCGAATTTCTACCTTTCCCAAGGGCATCTGCACGTAAGTGAATATAACGAAACCGACTGGAATTGGAACTCGGCTCTCCAATTTCCAATTACATGCTGTTATTCATTACACCACGCGCATATCCAAGCTG